TAGTAAGGGCGGGACATTTGAACGCCTCAATTTTTAAGCGGGAGATTACATCAAAGAATGAGGCGATGGCCTCTCTATGGGTAATACTGGATCGGAACACATCGTAACATCTGAATATATTTACATACTGCGCTGCTGAAGGGTGAAAAATCGACTGGAGTAAAGACCGAAGGAAATTAAAAGGCACGGCTACCGGTTTTACTGCTTCGGCTAATGACCGATCACGGTACACAGTGTGTCCCCTTGGCTCTTCCACAGGAACGGTAATAACAGAATGCTAAGAGTTAGAACTAGAAACGGGAAGGTCACGCGCCTAAAAACCGTTTCCAACGAGCCGTGTAGTTTGGAGTATCTATAACAAGCTCATTACCTAATATGTTAATTATTCAAAATATGTAAAAAAAAAACAATAATATATTCTAAATCCCAAATTTTTTTGTTTCTCTTTCCGAATACCGTATCAGTGAAAAATTGTTATATAGTCTATTCAATGTAGTCTATAGTCTCAGCTAGATTTTATCGGATATAAATCTTCGTTAAATGTTCATCCTTTACTTATTTATTTATCGAACCACTAAACTGCCAATGTTAATTATTTATACATTGACCCATCCTAATATTATTATTTATCCAAAGACTCAGATCACCCTCTGCATAAATATATTCGACATAGAGCGTCACGGAGACCTTCTATGAATCCCATCAAGTACGGCCTTTCATCCTGAACACTTATCTTCCATCCACTGTCGTCCATAAAATGTGATCTTAGTGGATACGCCCAGTGTTTCGTTTAATGGCCGCTATCTCTGTCGCGCATTGGGAACGGATTTTAAGCGACCTTGGCCCCTGATGGTTACCTACTTATTCACTGGAATAAGTACGGTAGACAATTGATTCACTATTTTTTTCTAATTTCTATTTTCCTTCTCTTTATATAAAATTTCTCGTTTTTTTTTCTTTTTAACAAACTCACACATTTTTGCTAGTCCGACTGAACCGAGCTTGTAAAAAGATTGAGGGCATTGGCATACCTGCTGTTTTGGTACATCGAAGCCTTACTTTTAACTGAAGCCTCACATCCCCCACACCCTTGATGACCGACAGAAAAAGGGATTCGTACGTACCGAAGGAGTGAAATGGCTTTCTAAAAATAAACGAACGTGAACGATGTTGTCGCCGCAAGTAATAAAAATACGAGACGCGAGAGTGGAGGTGTGAAGTTTTAATTATTACAGCAGCCACGGAGAAACAGAGATTCGGTTAGTCTGAAGATTCTTCTAAGAGAGGATTTATGTGCGCGGACAATTTACTGGGGATAAATATATGACGCTGCCTGCTATGTATTCGATGTGTTTGGCTAAGGACGTTGAATGTGGTACTGGCTTTAACTTATATATATGTATATATAGATTATAATGGTGGATCTATTTACGATTATAATTGCGATATTAATATCTAAACGGGTTTTGGTAATACAAATCACTTCTTGGAATGCAGTATATTACTTCTGGCAATATTAAAGGATATAATTTACATATGTTATTTTAACGACAAAACCAGTCGATACGTCTTTTGATACTGATAACAAATTATCAGATAATCCTATGAAATATCAATTATCAATGACTTAATGTTTATCAAAGAATTTTGAAAATAAATAAGGTTAAATTTAAATTTCGTGAGATGTATGTGCAGTTTAAAAAAATTGTTTTCTTTTTTAATAATGAATTTTGATAACCTTAAAAATACGTCTCGTGCGTTTCAGTGAGACTCGTGTTATGTCATGAGTCCACATATAGACAGCTAACCGTCGTTTGGAGACAATAGACACACGGAGCCCTGGCAGTGAATGAATTGATATCGTTATTGTAACAACATAATGGACATATTTTCTTATTGAGATTGCAGCCTCACGCGTGTGACGTGCCTGATGCGTCAGGCTGTCTTTATGAATGTATTCATTCATGAGAGCCAGTACGACTGTATTATATAACCAATACACGACCGTCCCATAAGGCTAAAGACCCTGCGATGATTTTGAGTGAACTTGAGAGCGGTCATGCGTGTTTTGAAAATTTTTGAAAAATTTCCAAAAATTTATTAAGTCGTGCAATGCTTATCGGTTTGGATTAAGTTATTAGAAAATTCGAGAAATTTTTTTTTTTTTCGATTTAATACTGAAATCAAACTTTTCAAAAAAAACTCACGGAAGATTATGTTTTTGCCGGTTGAAAAAAATTTTATCAAATTTGTATCGCAGCAAAGTTCGTCCTGTCTTTCTTACGGTACAAAACTGATATATGATATTTTAAGTGACGAAATGTGTTTGGTAATTGAATTTAAAGGGCGGAAGCGAAGAAATCTGGGCCCCTTTGTATTAACCTAATCAAGTTCAGTTGCGGTGCCGTTCGCCGTCGCGGTCACAATAGAGACATTAAATCGTCAGTACGGATTTATTAAACCCGGCACTTTTATAACCGTGAAACCCTTTCACTCTACTTTGTATTGCCGGTGAGGAAATGGCTCAGTCTTATAAATTGTCCTTTTGATTATTTCGACACGTCAATAATATTAGAGCAGCTACGATTAAGCGTAAACGAATATAATTAGTGATAATAAAATAAAAATAAACAGTGAGCCATGAATAATAAATTTAATATGTATATTCCAATATTAAAAGCCGTATATCACAGGGAAACAATAATTTTTCGATTGTTCAATAATATTTCCGCTGCTTCTCGCCGTCTGTAAATAACCATTATTTTTTGTATCTTTTTTGATTACCGCGGATACCGAATTATTTTGCATAATAAATTAGAGCACTGACCAGTCGTCATTATACTAAATCAAAATCGATTATTCATGCGAATACGGCCTTAAAATTAATTACGATTTAAAATGAATACAAGGTTGTTATTTTTAGAAGTGAAAGGTCTTTAATGACGTTTCGTAGTGTTTACGGTGTATTGGATAAATGAAATTTTTTTGAGCACAAGTTCCGTAACATAGTAATACCCTCGTTCCTATTGGGTCCATATCGCGTTTCCCAAGCATCCAGCAGAAGATTGTAGTATCTACTTTTTTCAAAGTACTTGAGATACCTGTACGTTTTGTCGTTGGGAAAGATCCTTTCGAATTTACCAGTTTCCGAAATTTCATCCTCGTACCGAATAAGTAGCCTAACGTCATCCGAAGTTAGATTCTCCAAGATAGTCTCGAGATAATCAACACGCTTGAGCACCTGAGTAAATTTCATCTGCTTATCTCTTTCAGTCTTTGACAATTCCACGCCTGCGCACAGTCGCTTATCGAAGCAGAGGATATCCTCGCCGTACTTCATTTTCAAAGTGTCCACGTCCTCGGAGTTCAGAGTGTTCGGTATCTGAAATCCTACCAGGTTCAGGACATCTTTCGCGAGATGCCCTTTGATTATCGAACAAAGTGGCGTATCTGGATTCATAGAAGGATTATTGTTGACCTCGAGGAGCCACGGTTTAAAATCCTCGTCTATTATGACGTCGAAACCATAAAGCTGAAAGGCTGAACAGCTTGTGGGAACAATTTGAACGGATTGAAAAACAGGCTCCTCCGCGGATAGGATGGTCTTGATAACAAGGTCCTTGATCTTGCTCCAGATCATGGGAATGTTTGCTTTATATCGACGGGAGAGATAAGCCCAAAGCGAGTTCAGGGCCCACATGCTCCCGTGGCATTTATTGGGACTGTCATTGGGCCTGAACATGGGACTGGTCTTGTTAATGCTCGTGTTTGTCAGATGCATGTAGCGATCGAACAAGTAACTGACGTCTTTTATATATTTGGACGTTGCGAAACGAACTAGACCCTCGGAATAGAGATAAATCCTTAAAGGATCGACACCAGTGATAAGGACGTAGAGTCTAAGATCAAATTTTGTACCGTTTATGAGCTTGGGTTTTTCCAAATATTTTTGTATTACCAGTGACCTATTTTTTGGAATCTGAATCCAGCGCGATATCACCCTGATCCCATTTCCTGCGCAGGACGTTGGCGGTTTGAGGATCCAGATGCCACCATTTTTTTCAATTATTTTTCGAAATCTCACGGAATCCTCCGGTAGGATATAAGTGATTGGCATATAGTCGAAATCGTGTTTTCCAAATTTTTTTATCATTTTGTTATGATGACGCCACAGCAGATCCTTGTGGCTTAATTGAAACGATCCTGGAAAGTGATTGATCTTCTGAAATGCTTTTAGGGTCTTGTTGGTACTGTATATCCCGGGCGAGGACCAAGTGCCTAACCAGTTTGAGGAATGATTTTTCGTTATGGTGAAACCCGATCTCATGATAGTCAGCCTGATCATTTTTGGTGACTGTCTGGCTGTTTGCTTCCACAGTAAATGTCTCGTTATTTCGGTGGGCATGAAACTGTTCTGTTCGTTGTCGTAAGAGTTGAAGATTAAAAATGGCGGTGTGTGAACGAATAAACTTGGTCTTAGTGGCAATTTGCAAATTCTCTCGCCACACGCGCGGGGTTCCATTAAATTGGCAATTAGCCAATCGGTCAGCTCCCGGTACTCGTACATGCTGTCCATCTCATCGAACCAGGAGAGTTTTCCATTACACGTGTCGCTCGAGGCATTTTTCTTCTGGGTTATCATTTTGGCGAATCTTTAAATTGCTGATGACAGGTTATCCGATATTAATAATTAACAGACTGATGATTACTACCGTGAACTTGTTTAAGTGATTAAATGATATCTGACAGATCGGCGCAAGTTACAGAGAATTTAGTCCATGTTTAAGAAATGGATGGAATCAAAACTATGAAGGAAGAGCCATTACGCCATTACTTGAATGACATAAATTCTGACAGTTGTCATTTTTCGAGCGGAGGTATCTTCACGTCGTATCTTACAAAAAAAAAAAAAAAATTAATTTTCCTCGCCTTAAGTCAAAATCCATCACACTGGTAGTAAGAAAAAATATAAATAAATCGTACAAAATTGAATGTACTGTAAAAACAACATTTTCTTTTTATTAATCCAAATTTGTATTGTTACATGAAAAATATTATTCACGAATCGCGAAGGCACAAACGAAGTAGCTCATCACGTGGCAGTCTAAAAGTACAACAGTATTTCTCGAAAACAAAAAAAAATTAATAATAAAGAAAGAAAAGGATCACCGTGACGTCTATCACACGAGATTTGTACACGTTTTTAACTGATCAAAAATGGCAGTGACAATCCGAGGCAGTGTCGTGCTAAAAAGTAGCCTGTTGCTCAAGATGATAATTGACCTTGCACAATTGCCGAAGCCTGGCGATGCCTTTGTCCCTATCGTTACCATTTTTATATTTCCAGGCATCCAGCAACATATTGTAATATCTAGGCACGTCAAAGTACCTGAAGTACTCGTGGCTTTCGCTGGTAGGAAAGATCGTCTCGAATCGATCAACCTGACTGAGCTCATCCTCGAATAGAACAAGTTGACGAACATCGTCGGGAGTAAGGTCCTCTAAAATATCATTGAGATATTCGTTTCTATTTGTCAAATGAGCAAACAGAGATTGCTTGTGCCTTTCCTGGTAGCTCAAGCCAGTCTTGTACAGTCTGAGGTCCTGAACGACAGAGTCGACTCTGTACTTCTTGGACAGTGATTCGGCATCGGTCGCTGAAATGCAACTTGGCAGCTGGTATCCTGCCATGTTGAACACGTTCTGAATTAGAGGACCCTTGACTGCGATATCCAAGGCCGACGATGCTTGTAAAGATGGTGATATGTTCACCTCGAGGAGCCAGGGCTTCAGGTTCTCATCCAGAAGAATGTCGACGCCGAAGAGTTCGTAGCAACAGTATTTATTACTCGTGTTTGCCCTGGTCAGGCTGTTGATCGATGATTCTCCTGATATCATTGTCTTGATTACGATGTCCTTCATGGAGCTCCATAAACGGGGCACGTCGACGTTCTCACGCTCCAGGTAACTCCAGAGCGTATTCAGGGTCCACTTGTGTCCCGTGCAGGAGTCTGCCGAATCGTTGTTCGTATAATTAGCACTGGTCTTGTTGATACTGTAATTGGTTAAGTGCATGAACCTATCGCTCAGGAAGTTTATATCGTCCACGTACTTCACCGAAGCGAACCTAACCAAACCTTCTGGATAGATGTAAATCCTGAGAGGATTGAAGCTCGTCACGAGGACGTAGAGACGCAGGTCAAACTTCGCTCCGGATATCAGTCTTGGCTTGGACAGATATTGCTGAACCACCACTGGCCGCTTCTTAGGTATTTGGCTCCAGCGATGTACCACTCTTATTCCTGTACCACGTGAGGATGCTGGGGGCTTCACTATCCATTTCTCTCGACCTGCGGTTCTCTCCCAGACCTGTCGGAAGCATCTGAGGTCCTGGGGCAAGACGTAGGTCCTTGGGACAAAACCAAATTCACGTCTACCGTGACGCGCCATTAATCTACTTAGATTGCGCCACAAGCGATCCTTGCGACCAATCTGGAAGGTTCCTGGGAAGTGATTCACCTTCTGGTACTCTTTGATTATTTTGAAGCACGTCGATTTCATATGCTTGCCCCAGACTCCTGACCAATCGGAGGCCTTCTTGAACAACCGGAAACCAGAATTTGTGAGAGTACGTCGCACCAGCAACGGCGTTATTGAGCTCAGTCGCCACTTTAGATGTCGCCGGATCTCGAAGGGTAGATTACTCTGACCCTGGCTGTCGTGCGACTGAAAGGATATATAGGGTGGGACGTTTGGAAAGAGACTTCTTCGAAAGGGTTTTGATATTTTCTTGTCTCCTGATTCGTCGATCACGTCTATGTCGTCCACTTTATCCACTTCGTCCACTTCATCCACTTCACCAGCTGCGTCTATGAAGGGGTTAGGTTGCACCTCATCGTCGAATTTCGAGTCCAGGTCCACAATGTGATTGTAACTTAGGACGTCCATCCTGGACAGTATGACCGACCTGGGGGAATTACGAGAATAGGAAGATTCAGGCATTTTCGTTTTTTTTTTTTTAATATTCAACTAATTCCCTATTTCTATACTGTAGTTTTAGGCGATAAATGGACACGAGTCTCGGTGGTTTTCATAATTATTTTGATAATTGATCATCGGAGTGAAGTTCGCCACGTATCACGTGTGCTGTAATCGAATAACTTTCGAGGCTAATTCAATTGACGTTTTGACATGTTTCGACATCAATTTGTGATAATTAATTTTGAAAATTATCTAAATTACGCGATAGTCGATTAAAGCCTCGCATCTCGCGTACGATCTAGCCACGTAAATTTATTGACCAATTTTGTAAAAGTGAACGCGAATGAAAAGTCAGACGTTCCGATAAATCGTAATTACACATTTTCTGGCACGCGATATTATGCCGCGAGGCGTAATTGGACTGTATTGAGATACTCACCAATCAGACAGTTCCGTGAAGTATCAGCATTGCCATATCTGAAAGAAAGTGACAATTATTTAACGTTTTGTATACAAGCAAGAAGAAGTGCACCTCTTAAAATTAACCAGCTCTCCACCGGATATGATTATGGTTATTGAGTTAATCGCGGGGCGGCCTCAACAAATTCTGAAAGGAGTATTTTTTGGATAATCCAATTTCCAATAATACGACTCGTGACCAATTACCTACATCCGGTAGGACACTGGCTAAAGTTGAAAAAAAAAAATATGCCGCAAGGAAATAGGTATCTTTTTTTTTTACGAAAATACAACAAAAAACTTCCTAGTCAATTTCAACCTTCAAGAAGACCATATCTGCATAAACAGCACTTGTTAAGCGACAGATAGAATGATTACATGATGATAACTGATTGTTCGAGTAATCATGCACTACCACTTATCACGCTAAAAATTTCCATGTAAGGAGCGAACGACCGATTACGGTAAAATCAATTTAAATCTGAAATGACGTATAATTAAAATTCAAAAAAAAGTTAACCATATTTCCATTCGTCTTTACGTTACTTCAACATTGTTTACTTTGTACAAGACATGGTATTGATATATATATATAAATTATTTTCAAAACAATCACGAATCATTGTCATCGAATCAATCAATATCTATAAAAATCAATGATGGTTCAATTAAATATTAATGGAGTAGAAAGCGATCCTTGATGCAGCATAAGTCATGCCAGCACGAGTATTAATAGTACTGACTATACTGTATATCCGCGTCAACTCCGCGTATGAATGACTATCATTCTTCTGGTTGACCACTATGCTACAGGTATAGATGATAGTAATGATTCATCGTAATCCGTGCGGCCAGAATTCCATGACACATGACACGTTTGAATGGGAAACTGGAATGGTAAGTTAACGCCAGACACTTGTAGATATTATCTCTGAATGACTATCGTTTCTCAGTCATTCGCTGTTTACGATCGTCATGATCCACGATGATTTTTATGGTATAGTACCATAATCGATGCAGCCATTAAAACTGATCATTACCTTTGCACCTTATAAGAATCTACTACAGATACGTAGGCCTTGTGGTTGAAAATCAAACGTACGACGAAAGACATTCGATACCTAGAATCTCACGTTCATACATATGTTACATATGTACTTACATATGTTCAGGAATACCAACGGTAACTTAATGATCATTGAAATTCAAAAAGATATTATCGTATGAGCTCACATGCCAAATATCACGTACGGTCGACGATAGACTGAAGGAATATAAAATTGGAGACTATGGAAACTTGAAATATGGTTTTTTTTTTTAACAAACTTTACGAGATTTTTAATAATGCGGCACGCTCGTGATATACCTTTTTACATTTATTGGTAATTCGGAGAAATTTTTTTAAGGATTTTTACGACTTCTTTTTTATTCTCTATAATCCCTGACTCACCTACTTTTTTCATTGATTTAATACGTTTCTATGAAAAGCGTGAAAATTTATCTGAACTTTATAATTTTGGGGAAGCATTTTATCAACTATTCAACGTGGCCTGTAACCCAGTCCCGTAATGAGGCCGTAGACAATAAGCAGGTATCAACCGTTAACAGGGAGAGGGGTCCAAAGAAATTTGAAAAAAAAAAAGGAAAATGAACATAAAAGCGTTTCCATGAATGATGAAAAAGCGACGTTGGATGTATGTATTAATGAATGAACAGTCGAGTTTTTCGCTCTTTCGACTTTTTGCATACGCGCGCGAACGACGTAACGTACGAAAAAGATTGATACCGATCGACAGCTTGACAATGGTGGCATTAATTAAATGATTCTTTTATTTATTTTTTTTTCATTCTTCTCTCCTCACGAAAGCGATCAGATACGATCACTGCGGACAATTGATCTCGCTTAGAAAACCACCTTTTAGAAACGATTTCATGGAAATTCCGCCCTGCTAATGTCCCATGTTACATTAGAAACGATCACGCGATGAAAATCAAAAAAGAAATCCGTAAGTATCACGATAATATCAGTATAGACCTGGATGAACTATACGGTATAAATCGATAAAATTGAAGATCACAAATTTCAAAATCAAAATAAATCTTTTACTATCTGTTAACTAAGTAAAAAGACATCGGATAAGTCTCGGATAAGATAACGATATTTATATTGAAAAAAAAAATCGTTATGCAATCGCATAATTTTCGCAGAGCTAAAAAGATTGAAATCCATTATGCCGAAATTTCTGCCTAATCGTTTATTTCTTTATTTATGATAAGAGAAACAAAAATCTATTTTTCTAACGTTAACACGGGATAATCGATACCGATTTTCGATAATCGGTACTTACCGATAAGGAACGTTATTCCGATAAAGTGGGAGAGAGCATTTTTATCTTGACGACCGTGAGGGTCGATTCTGAAAAGGTCGACGTTATTTATCGTTTTGCCATTTATAAATTGGTACCGTAATTAGGTCTACGAATCGAAAGGCTATAATCAGCTCTCGTAAATCGTCGCGATTCCTGTAAATCGAGAGCCGCGCACGGGTTGCCATTAAATTACATGAGTTTATTGTGTAATTACGCCCGGGTGAATCGCGTACGGAGAATACTAATAGCCTTTGTCCTCTAGGGACAATTTGGCATTGGCATTGATGATAATATCGCGTGATAAATCGTTATTCGGTAGCGAGTAATCGATTTAAGCCATTTGACATATAAAATAAATAGTTCGATATAAATCCGTGATAAACAATCAAACAGGTGTTTGACTTCATTGAAGATATAAATTCATCTGGACTGTGGTAACTAAATTCAACAGCAACATAATGTCACGTTATATCACAGAATGCATAAATGTTTTCATGATTGTTCATAGGGCAGTCATAATTTTGAAAATTAATAATTAAATAAAAATACAAATAATTTTAATGTTTACTAGACCGCAATGCATTAATATTTCGTCATTGATGCAACGTTGACTTTGAAAATTTAATAATTAATATAAAATATCTATTTGCTTTCAGTGACAGGTAAACAAAATGATGATAAAATAAATCTATCTGGCTGCTACTGATTTGCGTGAAAAATTAATACTCGTTACATGACTGTATCGAAATCGACTGAACTGATAAGTAGAATAAAGAAGTATCAAGAATAAATTATTGATTATTACGGATAACGAATTGCTAATAAATAGGACAAGCGTCGTATTAAACTAAGGCGTAAGGATGCAACAAGGATCATAGGCAAGGAAGGGATATGAGAAGTCAACAAGTGTCGAAATATCTTTAAAATAAGTCTTTATTAAATTTGCAATTGCTATTGATTTCGTACCATTGTCAAACGGTATGACTAAAGAGTTCTTAAACATAACAAGTAAACAAGTATATAACATTACGAGAAAATAGTCATCTCAGGTACAAGAACCCTATCACAGACATCACTTAAAGCTTGATCACCTATGTATAAATATAATCGGGTAAGGTCGACGGTCGACCGATGTCAGCCGATCTCAGCCGAATTGACCAAAAGGGTGGCCGAACAATCTACATGAGCCAATTGGAAGACATGGATTTCGTCGTGTAGTGGCTACGAGCGCCGAAGGTGGCGCCGGCCGATATCTCCATCGCCGTCATCGTGTTGACATTAAGGAATTGTCATGATCACCATGGACGCCAGACAGATGCTGCAGCCGATTCCGCTGATTCCCCAGAAGAGCTGGCAACGCTGATCGGGCTTTGGGGTGGCGTGTAGACGTATTGCGGAACGGCAACAACAGTGGCGGTTGCGGCGACCGACGTTGGCGAGGCGGTGTTCGTAGGCGTCGTAGGTCCTTCGAGCCTCCGCAGACAACCGCCCAGGTGGCGCATGAGTTGAGCGCCAGCGGCTGGGTGGACGGAGGCGGCGACAGGGGTAGAGAGAAACGTGGAGACCTCCTGGGCGCACTGAGTGAAACCTTCGCGAAATCTGTCAGCGTAACTGCTTTCCGGCGTGAGAGTGAGTCTTCTGGCAGCACGTAGAGTATGGAGATGACGTACAGTTAACTCCAAGATGTCAGCCTTCTCCAACTTTGCGACATTTTCACCCTCGGCTTGAAGAGCTGTCACCATGAGATCCTTAAGCTCGTCGAGACAGCGGTTGATCCTTGCTCTCCTCTTTCTCTCCAGCATGGGCTTCATGACCTTGCGGTACTGATAAGTGCGCGAAACAGGCTCCTCGTACTCCAAACCTCCGGTATAAGTGGTATGCGGTGCCATTTTGAAAATGCTTCGTCAACACACAGTAGGTACACTTCACAAAATTACTCTGTCGATGTTTTTTATAAGTCTAGTCTCCTCTTTTGCCGCAAACTGCGAGTCACGTTTGTCGTCTTTGCGAGTAGGTATAGCTTTCGCCTCGGAGTGCCGAGTTGATCTGACGTTACCGGTGTCTGGCGGCTGGCTTATATAGGTGACGGCGCCCCCACCAGTTTTACTATGCTAAGTGACTAAGTGGGGGAAACAGCCACCAGCCGGAGCAGCGTATCGTGGGAAGCAACCGGGCCCGAACGTTCCCACAGCCAGCTCTCGGACCGGCAGGGAATTTCGAGCCCACACCTGCACCCTCTTCTGGATGAAAGGGTGACGTGGGGAACCACGGTGCGACGGCATCACGGATGGACGGACTGACTGGCGGAAGGACGCCACAGCACACGCCACGTCGCGCGACCAGCACGAGGCGACCTGCTCTATACTCCTCATCTCCGCCACTTCAGCCAACATAACCTAACCTCACTTTACCAATGTATTACACTCCTACTATACCGCCTTCGCTTACTTTATAGCATCCTCATACTACTGACACTTGTTGAAGCGACGAAATACCGCTACTGGTCTTATATAGCCTATAATCACACCATAGTCACATGGACTTGGATCAATATTGACGGAGTCCTTACGCACGTGTCGAATGGAATTTTATGTTTTGAAATTTCGAAAAATAATTAGCTGTCAATAAAATGTTTTATCGGTATCCAGTTATAGGTTTTACTATGTATTTTATGGGTTTGATACAGGTACTCCAATGCGGGTATGTTCCCTTTGAAAAAGGATTTAACGGATTTAAAATTAATTTCTTTGAAAATTTTTCTCTTCCTCGTGGCTACTCGAAAATTTCTTTAAGAGTTCATGCAGAAGCCAGTGGGACGACTAAAGGTATTTTTGTTGCGGTTGACTTTTTATGACGGCTCTTAATGAGGTGTTTAGCCGTTGCTGAAAACGATATCCTAAAGGGTCTGTCTCTCCTTTGGTCAGTATTTACGACCCCATTGGGTACAAATGCAAAACCGGCAGTAAATGCTGGTTAGCTTACCAGCAGTTTAACAACCTTTTAAATTGATTTGAGAAAGTCGATTACTAGAATATTCTTTTCGTTGAACCCCTTGTAACAGACTTGGGTATTACTATACGAAAGTATACCATTATTTAATTTGCACGCAGTGTACCTGCTATGTATTAACAGAAAATCAATAATTGTATAGTAAACCTAAAGTCTAGTCAACCCCTAATATAATTTCAGGTATATCACCCGGATTAGAAATGTTCTCAAAATTATATTGGGGAATCGACATAAATAATGACGGCGTACGTTTCAAGACTAAATAATAATAAAAAGAAAGTGTACGAAAGGTAAGAAATGTATTTATAGCACAAGGAAAAGTGAAGAATTTGTCAGGATAAAAATAATTAAATATATTAATTTCCAGAATTTTCCCTATCGCGGTAGAAGAGGGATAGACCAGGCGCGTCTCAAGAAGAACAAAATGATAGTACTGAGGGGCCCCGTATTTTTTCGCACCCCCTGGAGAGTCCGTGAGTATATCGATTTATTTTTCTTTTCTGGTATCCTCCCTTTCCGAGGTTTTCGTTTTTCCATCAACTCGCACGCGGCGTCAACTACGTATGGGGGCTGTTTCTAATACTCTTCCAGCTTCTCTTTTTTCCCCTCTCTTAACCCTCCTTTTTTCTTGCTTTTGCTTCGTCACTGACGAATCGTAATAAGGACAAGGATTCCTATATTTAGAAAGACACTCTCGTGCCCAGAATGTGTCCATATGATTCCATTCAAAAAGACAAAAAAATATTTGTGTAATTAACCTATATGCGTCATTATCTTATATATACGTGATTTTCCTGGTCATTATCACCGAAGCTTGTACACACGCTAAGTTGGCATCCAGATACATATAATAGAAAAAAAAAACGTTGGTGATAAGGGCGTATTTTTTTTTTACTTTTCCATATGATCAAAACAGGTTAAGAAGAAAAATAGCAGGATTGCGTCAGTCTGATTGGCGGATCAGTCCCGGATGTGCGTATTGCCGAAATAAAGCTGTCAGTATATGTATTTATGACGTATATAGATTCAGGTCCGACACTACAAGGGAGCTTTGACCACTTGACTCGATTTAATGTTTATTAAATGATCGGATGACAACTTGTTGTCGTGCGTCCAATTATCGGCGATTTTGGCAGGACAGGATATTGTTGGGACGAAGCAACAACCGGAATTGGATTGACGAGACAATTTGCACGAAACTCTGATTAATAATCCAGTTTATATATATATATATATATATATATATATATATATATATACAAACATACATATATACTAAAAAAACACGTGGGATCGATTATTATGACAACAGTCTATCACAGTACAATTGATCCCTCCATATATAGATATATTCCCAGTATATACCTATAAGATCAATCGAGTAAAACTGGATGATTGAAACAGCTGGATCATCCAAACAGGATATTAAATAAAATCAATTCAGTTATATAACGAGATACTTGTAAGAGTAAATCGAGCGTGAAATATCAATAAAAAAAAAAGACACGGATCCTTCAGATCGAATCGATCAAAAAATCTTTCCGAATAAAATAACATTACTTATATTTTAACATCAATGAAAATTTATCTAAAAATTTTATACATACCCACGTCCCGATTAATATTCTCGAATTTGATAAACATAAATTTTCAATATGTCAAAATAGAAAATTTTCACTGTACCACGTAATCTGCTAATGTAACAATACCTAATGCATTACACGTGTTTCCTTAATCACAAGGACTTCCATACTGTTCCCCTTTGGTAAGTGGTAAAGGACTTCGTTTGGTCTCTCTTTCTCTCCCTCTTTCTCCCCTTTTGTCTCTATCTCTCTCGTTTCCTCGCTCCTGTATTTATATTCCCTCTCTCTCCCACCCGTATCGCTCGCCTATTTTCTTTCTCGCTCATTTCCCCCGGCTGTCCCTGGCCGGCTGTAAGCTATTGCGAACCTAACCGGCCACCGAAATTCCTGGTGAGCAACACCAGCAGCAACAGCAACAGCAACAGCAACAGCAACAGCATTACTACTCTCGTCGTTTGGCTCGTGCTACGGAACGTGGGAATATTCTCAGGCCCTGAGAAGCCGCGTCCGTCTTCCTTACCCCCGAGCCTGTATGCTATACGTATGACGCAGGAGGTAGGTAACGTGGCTCTCATTGTACGTCCGCCTTTATCTGCAGCCACCAGCGCAATGTAACCTTAGCAGCCCCCGTTGCCTTGCTATTGTCAGTAGCACGGGCCATATTGTTAGGCGTCTTGGCTCCTTCCCGCCTCTCTCTCTCTCTCTCTCACTCTCTCTGTCTCGCCCCGCGACCACAATCATCTTCCGATCCTCTTTTTTCGCACACGAAATTTCATCATTCCGCTTCTTTGGGGTACCAGCTTGTTTCACCGTGCTAACAATAATTTGGTAAGACATTTTTTTAAATTTTTCTATACGAATTCTTTTACTTTCTAATTTTAAATGTTGCAGCCGTTTTTTGTGCTCGTGACGTCACTTGGGATATCGAATTAGGGATAATTAAATCGTATCGATATGTATAATGCATTAGGGACTTAAAGTGGGAGCATTCTTACTTTCATTTGAATATAAACAGTTCGTTCGAGAGAAACGAGCTGGTCTTATCTAAATTTGTTCTAAACGTTTTTAGATAATTCCAGCGGGAATTTAACGGATGAGGGTATATTGAAAATGTTCCGTTCGCGATTGGTTTCTATTGATGCTTGGACGTAATTAGTCGAATGGGATGAGATACCGCAAAACGTTTATGGTATTGACATATGAATGTGGTTTATTATTCCATCTGCATTAACGATGGTTAGATAAGAAAAAAAGGCTTCTGCAATTACGAGATATTAAAAGTCGCTTCAGTCACGTGGTCTCGTACAAACTGTCTCGAAAGTATCACGCGACTCTCAGAAATTACCAACGCAAGACCACCTGTCGAGACTGAGGTAGCGCCTTTTCCTTGGACTAGGATAGTCGATATTAAAATTATGTATTATTTGTAAAAAAAAAAAAAGAATTTAATACGACAGTGCAAAAACGTTTGAAATTTTTTAATTTTTTAATTTTTTTAATATCACTTTTTTTTAACGAATTTCACATGAATATCTTAAGACACCTGTATTACGGAACTCCCAAGAGTCCTGTCCAAGCTGTAATCATATTCTGACGTAATCATCGAAAAACGAGCAAATAAACAAAAATGATGACCCGTCGATCGCGAGGTCCGCATTCGAAGTCGATACGTCAATATCAAAAGACACGAAGGTCATTTGATATGTGTAAGGTACGGGATCCATCTGGAGCCTAATCAATTAATTAAAACCCGTGTCGGTGACTGGACGGAGTGGCAGCCAACCGTCAATTAAGACGGACCTAAATCGTTCTGTTTCTGATTCGCTCCTACATGCTATCTGTATTATACGTATGCATATGTATACGCGAATACATAGAGACCCAGTGGTTCCACCTTTTTCATAGGGGAGCAACCCTCGTTAAAGAGTGGCCAGTATATCTCTGGAGGGTCCAGAGGCTCGAATGGGCCTTAGAAGTAAGCAGGACTCTAGAAGTGGGGAGGGGCCGGGGGGGGAAGGCCCTTTCAGCAGGGTTTACCCTCGGATCTTTTAACACCCCGAATGCTCCCCCGGCGGGGCAGCTTGCGCTCTTTTCTCCGCTTATTTTCATCCCTCTTACTCATATTCATACTCTAATATTTGCCCTCTCGCTCTTACTCGTTTCCCTTCAGCCTCTATCTCAGGCCCCTCGACATCCCTCTCGCTCCCTTACCCCAGATAGATCTCCACGAAGGGAGGGACACCCTGGCTGCGTGTATGTCTCACCCCTGGAGCCTCTTTCACTCTCCTTCGTTTTTCACTCCCTATTCGAGGGTTGGCTGTCGTCGTGGCACAGGTGGTGCTTGTGCCGTGGGAACGTCCTCGGCAGAATCTTCCCGTGTGCCACCCTAAGCCGGGGCCGAGCAAGTGTGTCAGCTACCCCAGATTGCCCGTTCTAGCGGGTGTTGCCGTACTATGTATTCCCGGAGGGCCCGGCAGGGCCCTGACCAGGCCCCGCTTTTTGGGTAGGATGGAACCGTCGGTCCGTCTCAGT